GTGGGACGATGGTGTGGAACCTGATCTACACCTTAGCAAAAACCCCCCAGTGTTGTGCGAGGGAGTTTTGTTGTAAAATTCTTTCTTTCTTTTCACCTATGTGCAGCTCAAGTTGGTCACGGAGACCGGGCTGCTCAAGTTGGTCAAAGGGCGCGGCAAGTGGTCTCCGTCGGGAGCGACGGCAGCGGCGGTGGCGGGGGAGGAGGAGGAGGCCGAGGAGGAGGGGGAGGAGGGGGAGGAGGAGGATGCCCCCAAGGGAAAGCTCCAGCAGCTGCCTGGCGATTACCCCTTTGCGCGGGAGCAGGATTGCGATCTACGTTTGTTTGATTTTGAGGCTTTCGGAGGCTTTGGAAAGGAGGTTCGCAGCACCCTGAGGGAGGCGGCGAACCAGCTGAGCAACAAACTTTCGCACGCTCAGCACCTGGACGAGGTCACATGGACCACCAAGAACTGGCACGGGCTGCAGATGCAGCGCTTGTCTGTCGTTCTCCACACCGCCGTGGCGTGGCAGACGGTGAACGAGCTAGCGTGCGGGGAGAGCGGCATTGTGCACGGTGCGGAATGCATTGCCGTTCTTTCGAGCCGTTCTTAACGGAGTCGCTTAGGCGGCTGCGGTGGTGAGCCGGTGTGTGTGCCAGTCCGCGCCAGTCCGCGCCCTTGTCGTGCCAGTGTGCTGTGAGAGAGGCTTGTATTTTAAGAATTCTTTTCACAACACGGCCTCGCGCGATGTCTGGCCCGGCCGGGCGCTTACCCCATCGACTTCTTCCTATCGAGGCCGGAGGGCTTCGGTGCGCGCGGGGCGGCCGCGGAGGCGGCGTTTAGGCGGCTCTCGGCCGAGGAGCGCGACGAGGTGGTCGCGGCGCTCGCGGCGGAGTTCAAGGCGGGGGAGCGGGAGAGATTGAGCTGCTGGGACGCGGGGCGCGGTTCTGTTTGCGGTGTCCCATTCCCGGGGTGGGAGGATTGGGTGAGGGAGGGGCGGGTCCTCCTCTTTGAGGGGGACCTGGAGGAGTTGCGGAGCGGCCCGGCCCGCGGCGCTGGCGGGGGGGGGCAGGAAGTCCCGCGACGGGCGCCGGCGGGGGGCGCGGCGGGAGCGACGGGGGGGGGAGGGGATGGAGTCGGAGGATGATGGGGATGGTCCTCTCGGCGAGCACCACGGTGCTCGCGGATTCGACCATCCGCCTGACTACCATTCCGACGACGCCTTCTGTGAGGAGGACGGCATCTGTGAGGGCGACGGCTTCTAAGCCGTCGCCTTTGCAGTGCCAGTCCCGTACCCGGTGTCGTGCGAGAAAAAAGAAACAGAGAGGATTACCCTGTCCTCCTGCCCCCTCCCTTGGGTTGTCCGTTTTCTTTCTTTCTTTCTTCCCCCATCCCTCGTTTGGGTTTATCTGTTTTCTTTCTTTCTTTTTTCACAACACGATTCGCGCGACAGGCAAGGCGCGGGCGACGGCCTCCTCAGAAGCCGTCGCCCGCACCACAGGAGCAGTCACACCACTCCCACTCCGGCCGGTCTCCGGCGCCACCCACTCCCCACCCCGACATCCCCACCCCACCCCACAACCCCGCCCCAGCCCGACCCGAGCAACCCCGCCCCATCCCGACCCGACCCGATCCACCCCGCCCCGCCCCGCCCCGCCCCCCCCACCGGACAAACCCGTGAGCCGCTCTCGGCTCCGCCCGCCGCCCGACCCTCACCCGCGCATGCGCCTGCTGCCCGCGCCGCCTCCCCCATGCGAGCAAAAGAAATTCATGATGGTGAAATAGCACACCTTCCCCTCCCTCCCGGCTTGGAGCCCCAGTGGCAGAAGGCTCTCTCTCAAAATGGCCATACCTCAATCAGCTGGCACGCTGGGGCGGGGCGCTTCGAGCGGGATGGGCACTCGCTTGCACAACGGGCACGTCGGGAGCGAGGGCGGGGCTTCCAGCCCGACCGTCTGCTGTGCGCGCCGCGCCGGGTATCCGCGAGCAGCCAGTTGTCGATGCATTGTCTTGTGGAACATGTGGCGACATGAAAGCTCCCTCACCACGTCGCCAGGCTTGAGGGAGACGAGGCAGACGGCGCACTCGTCTTCGCCCTGCGCGTGGTCGGGTCGGCGGCGGCGCGGCGGCGGTCATCTCGATGCTGTCGCCCTCTCCCTCCCCACTGACTGGCGCACCGGCAGCGAGCGCCGCCACAGCGGCAGACATCCGCGCGTGAAAGGCCTGCATCTCTTGGGAGCGTTGGAAGGTCGCCACTTGGTTGCACCTCTTCCGCCGCCTAGCACGGAGTTCTCTCTCGCGACACGTAAAAACACGTAAACTTGTGTCTCACTAACCGACACACGTGTGCCACGCCGCGACTTCTGCGCCGCCTCGCCGCCCCCTCCACCCCCGCTCCCTCGCCAAGAACGCCGCCTCCCGCCCGCCTCCTCGACCTCCCCACGGACGTTCTCATCCGCGTCGTCTCTCGCTGCGACCCCGCCGACATCGCTCGCGTTGCAGCTGTCTCACTCCTCTTCCACGCCTCGCTCGCGGCCGAGGGCATCCGCTTGTGGGCGCAAGAGCGCGGCTACGAGCTTCCGGCGCAGCCAGAGGACGAGGACTGCGCCGTGCGGTGGTAGTGCTATTCGGCGCTGCTGTGCGAGTCCAACCCGCCGGCGAGGGCGGCGGCAGGCATGCGGCACAGCCTCTTCATCGACGGCGAGGGGCGGCTCTCATCGTGCGGCTCTGCGCCGCAGGACGCTGCAGGGCTGCTCGGCCACGGCGAGGGCGTGACGTGGCTCAACACGCCAACCCGCCTCCCGTCGATGGTGGGCGGAGAGCGCGTTGTGAGTGTGTCGGCGGGAGCCGGGCATAACCTGGCCCTTACCGCTGACGGCGCTTCCTGGACCTGGGGCTATTGCCGCTTTGGCAGATCGGGCCACGGCGACGAGATGCCTCAGCTGCTGCCGAAGAAGATTGAGGCCATTGCTCGCCATCACGTCGTCGCTGTGTCGGCGGGAGCTAGCCACAACCTCGCCGTCACCGCCGACGGCGCCGTCTGGAGCTGGGGCTTTGGCAACCATGGCCATTTGGGCTACGACGGCACGCAGGACCAGCTGCTGCCGAAGAAGGTCGAGGCCATGGCTCATCGCGTCGTCGCTGTGTCGGCAGGCACATACCACAACCTCGTCCTCACCGCCGACGGCACTGCCTGGAGCTGGGGCAGTGGAGGGAACGGCCGGCTGGGCCACGGCGGCAGGCAGCGGCGGCTGCTGCCCAAGAAGGTCGAGGCCTTTGCTGGCCAGCGCGTCGTCGCTGTGTCGGCTGGATACGATCACAGCCTCGCCATTACCGCCGACGGCGCTGTCTGGAGCTGGGGCGAGGGAGGCTACGGCCAGCTGGGCCACGGCGACGAGCAGGACGAGCACCTGCCGAAAAAGATCGAGGCCTTGGCTGGCCAGCGCGTCATCGCTGCGTCGGGAGGCACGAAGCACAGCCTCGCTCTTACCGCTGACGGCGCCGTGTGGAGCTTTGGCGATGGAGGGCATGGCAAGCTTGGCCACGGCAACGAGCAACGCCAGCTTATGCCGAAGAAGATCGAGGGCCTGCTGCGGGTCGTCGCGGTGTCGGTTCAAGCACACCACGCTGTCGCCATCGCCGCCGATGGCGCTGTCTTTGCCTGGGGCAAGGGCGAGCACGGCTGCCTAGGCCACGGAGAGGACCCGTCGAACCAGCTGCGTCCCAAGAAGATCGAGGCGTGAGGAGGGCGAGAGGTCGAGTGGGCCCGACGATCCGGCAGCCCCTCTCGTCCGTCCGGGTATGTTTACACATTTCAGCGAGCTTTTTTCTTTTTGCCCCTTAGCATGTCGGCCGATATCGTACGACTGCGAGCAGATTACAACGTGCTGTTGAGCAATTCGTCGCGGGTGCGTGCATATGACAACACTGCTCGCTCTCCTCTTGCACACGCACTCTTCTGTGGCCCCGCCGACGCTCATCCTCGTCGCCAATCACACGCTCACGGTGCAGTTTGAGGACCCGGACGAGCCCAATTTGGCGCACGAACTGCTGCTGACGGTCACGCGCCCTGGCAGCACGAACGCTACGAGGCCGGCGCTCCCGGGCTCGCGCGAGCTGCGCGGTGGGGCGCGATTGACGGAGGAGCGAGCTACTGCTTCCGCGTCGCCGCCGTCCACCGCGCTCGCCTGCCGGCGGTGGACAAGCGATCCCACGACAGCGATTGTGGGGACTACATGAACATGATCCGTACGCGTGAGGAGGGGCCCACCCGCAGAGCTAGGCGGCGTGGGCGCCCCCCACTGGGGCCGAGGGTAAAAGAGGACGTCTGCCGGTGATTGTCCCATACGACGCAAATATTCTGCAGACAGACAGCACGCGGCTCCACTCCCCCTTCAAGCAGTCAGTCGGCCTGCGGCCGTAGATGCGGGGTGCACGGCCCGCATGCGTCGACTAGCAGAGGAGACGTGGTCTGGTACATTGATGCGGTGGGCGTGCACCCGTTCCGCGCGCCCATCCACACGAAGGCGCTGCCACTGCCCGGCGCCCCCGGAATCAAGTATGGCAACGGTGAGCTGCTGCCGCTCGGGCGCTCTGTGAGGAGAGAGCTAGAGGGCGTGATCCACGGCTCTGTCTATTGAAGTATCACGCATTCCCTGTGGCGCGTTTGCACTCGCGTGAGCGACGGATCTCGCGCGCGAGAGTCGCGCTTATAGCCTGCCGTGCAGCGAGAGCGGAGAGGCGCCGCGTCGGTGCGGCGTGGTCTTGCAGTTGCAGCTTTTGCACCAGCCACCACCGATTGTTTGGGTTCGTGCAGGACGTGCCCCCGGGTGCCGGCGCCTCTTCAAGCCCGCGGCCCGCGCAAAATCGAAAATTAAGATCAGAAAGAGAGAGAGAGCAAAACTGCACTTCTATGTGTGCGCCTCAGACAGAGAGTGTGTGTTAGCGAGGACCACCTGGCCGATGCCAGCCAGAGGAGAGTGGGAGGGGCCCGCAGCTCTCCTCCCTGGTACGGCGTGCCATCACACGCGAGCCATGTCGAGGAGAGGCATCCCCTTCTCGAGCCGCGCGAACTGGACCGCCGCGCGGAGCACCGTCGCGTAGCGGCCGACGTACGAGCCGTCGTACATCACGGTGAACGGCCGCTCGCGCTTGTACCCGCTCGGCCAGTAGTCCTCAAACACGCCGCGGTAGCCGGTGCCGCTGTACCCGTCCATCGTGCGCCGCGGGTCGAGGTGCAGCTCAAGCCCGCCTGCAGGACGTGTGTCTCGGACATGTCATGGACGTGTCCTCGACATGTCGGGCAAAAGTGCAGCGCGAGCCCGCCGACAGAGCCGATGAGCTGCGCGGCGGGAGGCACCACGCGCGTCCGCAGCCGCGACGGCCCCGCCGACCTCTCCCCTCCCGTCGACCCCCCGCCGCCCTCGGCGGCGTCGGAGGCGGCGGCGGCGGCGGCGGCGTCGGAGGAGGCGGCGGCGGAAGGCGCGGCGGCCGACCCGCCGTCCAACGCCGCCGGCTCTGCCGCGGCGATGGGCGGCGGCCTCACCTGCTCGGGCGCCTTCCAAGCCTCGACCTCGCGCAAGCCGACGTACGCGCGCGGGTTGGCGGGCACGAAGAGTGCGCCCGTGCGGCCCTCGGAGTCCTCGAGGTACTTGAGGAGCAGCGGCGTCGTCTTTGACGCTCGCACCTGCAGCAGGTGCGCCTTGAAGCGGCGCCGCATTCCCCCCGGCGCGAGCCCCATCGCCTGTCGACCCATTCATTCGCAGTCACTGGATGGCGTCCTTCATTATCCCCCTAACCCCCGGCGCGATCCCCATCGCCGACACGAACCCGCCCACCGCCACGCCGTGCGGCAGCAGAGGTAGACCGTCCTCGCCGACCTCGACCTGTCCACACCTCCGGCCGTGAAGAAGCAGCTGTTCGCAGCAGAGGGACAGCCCCTGACCTAGGGCACGGCCACACCTCCTCCTCCTCCTCCCCCCGCCCGCCGGCCCCCTCCGCCGCCTCTGTCCGCGGTGGCCGCAGCGTGTGTGCGGCCGCGGCCGCGGCGGCGGCGGCCGCCGCCTCGGCCTCGTCGGCAGCCTTGAGCTCGGAGGCGGTGGGGAGGGTGGGCGGCGGCTCGCGTAGGGGCGAGACCTCGAGCCGCAACAGCTCCGCCGGCCGGTCGGGCGAGCCGGGGCAGCGGGCGGCGGCGAGCGCGGGGTCGGGCGGGCAGACCGCCTGGTACGCCTCCCCCACCCGGATCACCGCGTCCGCGTACTCTCCGGATGACATGCGAGGGCTCACGGGCGCGCGGGCCGCCGCCGCCGCCGCCGCCGCGGAGAGGCTGTTGAGCCCGCTGCTGCCTGCCACGGCTTGCACGCGCGGCATAATTAGAATGACAAGAATGCCGATGAGACTAATAGTGATACAATGAAGAAGAGCGCCGCTGCCTGCCACGGCTCGCACTCTCGGCGGCGCGGCCCACGTCCGCTCGTTCGGCAAGTCGCGCGGCGGCGGCTTGGGCAGCTCGGCCTTGGGTGGCTTCTTGCCTGCGCCTGCGCCGCCGCCGCCCTTGCCTCCGCCGCCCTTGCCTCTGCCGCCCTTGCCGTCTCCCGTCGCGCGTCGCGGTGCGACGCGGCAGGGCAAGTTGGCGCGCGAGGAGCGTGGCTTGCGGAAGCATCGCGCCTTGCGCGTCCCTGCACCTGAGAACCAACTCCGCCTCCTCGCTCCAACTCCTCGCCGTGTGTGGGTGAGACTGCTGGGCAGCGCGGCGCGGCGCTTGCCAACTCCGCCTCCGAACTTCGGCGTGTCGAGGAGTAATCTCGGGTGATCTCGAGTCATCTCGGGTAATCTCCGCCTCCGAACTTCGGCATGTCGAGGCAAGCAGAGCACTGGCCGCAGTCGGCGGCGCTGGCGCAGCTTGGGCAGAACCAGCTGCCCTCGGGCACCGCCGCCAGCGGCGGCGCGAGGCACTTGAGGTGGTACGCGCCTGCCCACAATAGCCAGCCGCGTGAAGACGCCGCGTGGACGCGCCTTCATCCACTCGGAGGCTGTGCGGCGGTCGGCGCCTGCGCAGCCCTCGCTGTCGCAGAGAAGCATCTCGTTGCCTACTTGCCCGTCCCGCGGACAAGTCACACGGCCCAGAGCTCGTCGCCGCTGTCGCACAGACGCGTCCCGCTGCCGCTCTTCCAGCCGCCCGCGCCGCACTCTCCGCACACCGCGTTGTCGCCGTCGCCGTCGGGCGAGTCGCTGCTCGAACCTGCTCACAGCCAGAAGGTTCCTAGAAGGTTCCTAGAAGGTTCCTAGAAGAGTCGCTGCTCGAACCTGCTCACAGCTTGGCGCGGTGAAGAGACGCCGTTCACAGCGGAGCGGGCCGAGTCGGCGTGACGCGCCGTCGGAGGGTGCGGCGGCGGCACGCGAGGCGGCGGAGCGTGCGGAGGCGGCTGGTAGCCCGCATCCTCCCCGCTGCGACTGTCCCGCGGGAGTGAGGGAGTAGACGTCTCCTACGCACTCGGCTCCGGAGCCGGTGAGCCCCACAGGCCGAGAGGTCGCCCCCCGCCACCACCGACCGAGGCGGGCGGCTCCTCGCTGCAGCCAGAGCGGCGTGAGGTGGTCCTTCTCACGGCCGAGAGCGGTGATCACCGTCTTGTACGCCACGTCGCTCCGCGCCTCCGCCACCGCCTCCGCGAGCGTGGTGCGGGGGACCCACCTGCTCACAGCCGCGCGCTGTGAACAAGCGCCGTTCACACCGACGTCGTGCGATGGCTCTGGTGCAACGGGGCTTTGGCCGGCCAGTGGCGCGGAGCCAAACGGGTTCAAACACGGCTCTGCGGAGTGGCGCCGCGCACCGGCTAGGCTCCGAGAGCAGCGCGCGCAGCACCAGCCAGCGCGTCGAGTTCTCCTTGAGGTTGGCCGCCTGCGCACAGCGGGGCGCGTGGTGATCAGACGCCGTTCACAGCGCGGGCGGCGGCTCCTCCCTCAGGACGGCAGCCTCGGCAGCAGTCAGGCCAGGCTCCTCCTCGGCCTAATACACACGCAGTGCGTGAGTAGCATCTCTGGGTTGAATGGGTCGTCAAGCCCGGCTCCTCCTCGGCCTCGGCCACCCCCTTCCTCGCCGCTCCCCTCGCCGCCCGCCTCGCCGCCTCCCTCTCCGCCTCCCTCGCCGCCGCCGCCGCCGCCGCGTCCCGCGCCTTGGTGTACTGATTCGGCTGCTTGGGCCGGGCGGGCGGCGGCGCGGCGGCGGGGGCGGCGGCGGGGGCGGCGGAGGAGGCGGCGGAGGCGGAGGCGGAGGCGGAGGCGGAGGCGGCGTCGGCGGAGGGGCGCTTCGAGCCCATGTACTGTCGCGCGCAGAGCATGCCCCCGTTGACGTCGTCGTCGGCCGCATAGAGCGTGGTCGCCGTCATCGCGACGACCGAGAAGCCGCCCGCCGACGCGCGGCGGGAGGCGTCGCGCACGGAGCGCCGCTTGCTCTCCTCTGCGTCGGCAGCGTCGGCCGAGGGGGAAGGGGCCGGCGCCGGCGAGGCGCCCCGCGCGCCCCGCCTCTCCCTCTCCGCCCCCCGCCCCTCCCTCTCGCCCCGCCCCTCCCTCTCGCCCCTCTCGCCCCTCTCGCCCCTCTCGCCCCGCCCCTCCCGCAGCCGCGGGCGCGTGTTGCGAGGCGGCGAGGACGTACGGTCCGAAGAGCGGCGGCGCGGAAGCGGCGGCGGCGGCGCGCGCGGCGGCGGCGCTGCCGCCGTCGGCTTCGGCTTCGGCTTTGCGGGCTTCGCCTTCTCCTGAGAGTGAGGATGCACAGAGGAGTGATCGAGTGCTGGTGCCGGTGTGCGCCGCCCTCTGGCTCCGCCGCTCTACCTCGGTCCAGTTTGGCGCGGTGTGGCCGAGGGTGGCGCGGCAAGCGTAGATCGTGCGGTGGGCAGCCTAGGGACGAGACGAGGAGCCAAGTCGCCCTTCCTTGCGGTCAGAGAGCGGCGCGTGGATGCTCAACCTTGCACAACCGCACATCTCCCCGTATCTCCCCATCTCTCGCACCTACCGCACACGCCAGCTCGATCTCTCCCCACATCTCCCCACATCTCCCCATCTCTCGCGCCTTGCAGACCGCACACGCCAGCTCGATCTCTCCCCACATCTCCCCACATCTCCCCATCTCTCGCGCCTTGCAGACCGCACACGCGAGCTCGAGGGGCGCCGACTCCTGCGCCGTGTGCTGGTTGAGCGGCCTGTGCCTGTGCACCAACGCGCAGCGGTGACCCCCCTCCTTCACCGAACGCCGACGGCGGGTGTAGCGGCGCACTGCCGGTGAGACGCGCCCGCCGCCGCTGCAGCAGCGGCCACGCTCGCCGCCGCCGCCGGCCGCGCCGGCGCTGGCCGCCCGGCCGCCGGCTTGACGGCGAACGGCGGCGCCTCGCCCGCCTCCTCCCCCGCCCCCGCCGCCGCCGCCGCGGCGCGCGCCTGCGGTGTGAGGGCGGCGCCGGCCGCGCAGTGAGTCGAGATATGGGGAGATATGGGGAGATATGGGGAGATGTGGGGAGATATGGCGCCGGCCGTGCAGTGAGTCGCTGCGGCGCAGTGTCCCTCGGCGAACCCCACGTTCCTCGAATCTCGGCGAATCTCGGCGCGAATCTGGAAGAACCTCGGCGAACCTCGGCGAACCTCGGCGAACCTCGGCGAACCTCGGCGAACCTCGGCGAACCTCGAACCCCCCCCCTCTCCCCCTCGGCCGGTCCTCAGCCAAACTCTCGGCTCTCGGCGACTCTCGGCGACTCTCGGCGCACCTCCCGAGCCTGCTGCGACGAGACGCCGTCCCCGTGCAAAGAGCAGTGCCGCCGACCGACCCGCCGGCACTGGAGGCAATGGCGCCGCCCTCCCGGCCCAACGGCGCCGTCGCCGCCGCCGTCCTCGCCCTCGCCGTCCTCGTCGCCCTCCCCGTCGCCGCCGCCGCTTGCAGCGGCGCGGCCTCCGCCTCCGCCTCCGCCGTCGTCGCTCTCCTCGCCGCCGTCTCGCCCGCCGCCGGCGCGCGCGCCGCCCGCCGCCCGCCGCCAAGCCACCTGTGAGAGGGGAGAGGGGGGAGAGGGGGGGGGTGGGGGGTTGAGGGGGGGGGGGCCTTTGGGGGGAGTGGCTGTGCAAGGGGCTTGGC